ACAAGATAATTGGATGTAAAACACTTTGAAATGTCATATATTTTTAGAGAGGACATTGCTACAATTGGTCTGAATCCTCCCTGCTCCCTCCCCCCAGGTAGAAATGTGGTTTTTTGAAGATGATAATGAAATAGATGAGAGTAATAGGTGATAAAAGAGGTGACATAGGTTACACTTGAAAAACTCTGCTTCCTTAAAGGACTTTTTGTTACTCTTCACAAAGATAAAAAAAGATACACATTTATAAGTACACTTCCTTAAGATTGAATGTGTGGAGGTAAATATATACTGTAGATTTACTTTTTGTCTTAACTTGAGTTAAATGAGTATTTGGAATCTGTAGATGTCAAGAATTTAAACAACAAGCAGGAGAGACTCAAATTTCTAGTTTATTTAAAAAATTTATTTAAATTATTTAAAAAATGGATTTTAAGTGCAGGCCTTCTCCAACTTGGCCTCCCAAGAGATGCTCCTGTTTTAGAATACAAAGCCATGAGTGATTCTCCAGCACTGAGAAGAGCTGCTTTCTGCACCTGCCTAAAGCTCCCTCTCTGGTTGGTGAGCAGACTTTACTGCTGATGCCATGACTGGCACTCTGTGAGGCATGGCAAAGGAAAATATTAAAAAGAAGAGCAAAATATGTGACAGCTGGCAAAGCCACTGCATCTTAAGCAGCCCAGCCATCCCCCAGTGACAAAAAGAGGAGGGAGCTAGTGGGCACCTATTTGTAAGGTGCAGCACTAAGCTGTCTAAGAAAGCCTGGCAACCCAGAGGCAGATTCTGTCTCATAGAAGGGTTAGTATGGAAGAGCAGGAAGGGGAGGAGAGTGAGAGTCTGGAGCTGTGAAAGGAATGTCATATGGATGTTAAGTAGCAAATACTTGGACTACTGCTACACAGCAGAGGCAAACCAGCAAGTGAATGACGACCATCATCCAGAGAGATTATTTGGACTATCATTCAATGTCTGCCTCTTGGCAAGGCATTTAATTTCTTTGCATCTCAGTTTTTACTTATTTGATATAGTTGTTCTAAAAAGTATTGTAGTATGTGAAAAGATTATTCAAGTGTCTGGGACATAATAAACACAGTGATAATAATTAATGAATCATAGCTATTATCATTATTATAAATACCATCAGGAAAAGAAACCACTTTTATGAGTACAACATCAAGTCCAATGTAACCTATTTATAATTCAGAAAAGTCAAGTGAGAACTAAAGAGCTGTGGTTGATTGAAAATGCTGCATTGTGATAAACATTCTCCATACAGCTTTTCTTTTACCTTAACTAGCATTGATCAGTGTTATTTAAATAGCAGGCTGTTCAGGCTTCTGGTATGAGGGATTTACCTTTAATTATATATATATATATATATATATATATATATGTGTGTGTGTGTGTGTGTGTGTGTGTGTGTGTGTGTGTGTGTGTATACATATATATAATATATATAATCATCTTAAGCATGCAATCCAGTGACCCTGGCTGGACTATTCTCAGCAGAAGCTTCTATTGCATGCTGAGCACAGAATAAAGATGTAGATTAGAGCAAATTTATTTCAGATATTATAGTTTGGAGGCATAGCTATGTATGGAGGCAGGGCATGAAAAATGCAACTTCAATTCTTCCCTTGAACCCATAGTAATTTATCTGGGAAACATTGTTGAGTTCCCTGAACTGTGAGGTAAGTAACTTGCTCCAAAGCAGCTTTAAATCTTCTTCAGGGAGCAAGCTGTTGCTATGCTTTGTGCTCTTAGCATTGTGCTCCTTGGCTTGGAACTGTGAGCATTACCCATAATGCTTCAGTGAGACCAGGATCTGAAATATAATGTGCCTAGGGGAAATTCTCTGGGGGTGGGGGAATTCTTTGTAGATAAGGGAGAGAATTAAAAGTTAGTTGCAAGGCTTTATTTAAGGAAAGTTGCCCTCTCCAGACAGGGGGAAGCAATGACGTGTAAAAAGTGTTTTGACTGCTGTTTTTATTGATGCTTTGTATAACTGGTAGCATCTGCTGCATTATGTGCCCCATCCTAGGCACTGAGAAAACGTCAGTCGTCACAATGAACATCTTTGCCCACAGAGCTGGCCCTCTTTATGCTGCATATACTGAGGAATCCCGAATAAATAATAGACACCCCCTTTTATAGGAGATTCTGAATAAAAGGGGGAAGTGAGGATGATAATAAAGCATGGTGTAGTTAAGTGTGTATGGATCATTTGATTTCTGATTTCTGAGCTTGGGGAGGGTTTCCTGGGGAAAGGGACTTTCAGATTGAGTTCTGGAGAATGATGAAGAGTTGGAAGCTAACAATGAATGTTAATCACAGTGTGATGTGAGAATATTTCGGTTGTAACACTTAGAATAATGGAAATACAGAGAATTCATAGGTTGGCAGCAAAGACTGTGGTAGAAAGCCTGCTTCCCATCTAATCACTGGAGTGGTGATGGTCTTAATTATGCAATCATGGAGCTGGAAAGATGGGCAGAACAAGAGTTGACCCTTAGGCTTCCAGTATGCATGGGAAGTGATGTCACTCACTGAGGGACGGAGCTGGAGGATCCAGTTCAGGATGGGGAGCTATTAGTTCAGTTTTGAACATGTGTTTACAGTATTGAAGGACATCTGCAGAGAGCTGCTCAGTGGACAACTGAATGAGGAGACTGGAGAGCAGAAGGAAGCTAGGGACTGAAGCTATCTGCATGCAGGTGGACAGATCATGGGGCAGGATCCTGAAAATTCTGGCATTGGCTTTCACAGAGGGAGAAGAATGAGCAAAGAAGGGGCAGGGATGGCCAGGGCATATGGACAGAGAATGGAAGGAGGGAAGGAGAAGTGCTCTAAGGATGGAACAGTCAATGTCAAATACGGGTAGATGTCACCTACACTAGAAACTGAAAACTATCTTTTGGATGCAGTAGCATTGAATGCCATTCAATATTAGACGACCATCTGCATGGATTGCTCTGTACTCTTCCAGTTTATGTTTGTTCCATCATCATCATCATCATCATCATCATCATCATCATCATCATCATCATTGTCTGTCTTTGCTAGGGTTGCTATTGCTATGATGAAACACCATGGCCAAAAGCAACTTGGGGAAGAAAGGGTTTATTTGACTCACCTATCCTGACTCAAGGTTCACTGAGGGAAACCAAGGCAGAAACTCAAAGAAAGCAGGAACCTGGAGGCAGGAGCTGATGCAGAGGCCATTAAAGAGTGCTGTTCGCTGACTTGCTCCTCATAGTTTGCTCAGCCTGCTTTCTTATAACACTCAGGACCACCAGCCCAGGGGTGGCACTCCCACAATGGGCTTGGCCCTTCTGTATCAATTACTAGTTAAGAAAATTCTGTACAGGCTTGCTTATAGCTTGATCTTATGGAAGGAATTTCTCAATTGAGGTTCCCCTCTCAGATGACTCTAGATAGTGTCAAGTTGACATAAAGTAGCCAACACAGTGTCATTCGTGTCTACATTTTGATAACAATTGTACCTCCATCTTTGGATGGTTGGTGAGAACGTGTTCCACAGTGTCTAAGGATGTGGTGAGTGTAGGGGTAAATTAGAGAAAGGAAGCACACAGTGAGGCAGCTTTGTGAAGGCTTGTGGTCAGCTATAGGAGAAGGAATTTTAATACTGGGTGAATATTAAACTAGCTAGAGTTTCAAGTTTCCATCAATCCTAGAATAGTTCATAGCATTATTTTTAGTGGATCTTTAAAATTAGTGAAAAATAAAACTCTGTTTCTTATCCACACATTATAGATCTAGATGTTATTTTACAGATCAAATGTATTTAAACATGTTATTTTTATATTATTACATTAAAAATGAATATCAGTTAACTGGAAGTGTTCTTCATCTCCCCCACCATGAAGCAGACAGGTGTAGATGTATAATCAATCAGGCCACTTATTTTGTCTTTTGAATGATCTTGTGTGATGAGACATTATCAATAATGATTAGATGGGAAGTGAATATTCTCTCTTACTATAAATACTGTTTACCTAAGAAACAATGCATGCATGTGTATATATATATATATATACATATTGTACTATATATAGTATATGTACACACACACACACACACACACACACACACACATATATATATATATATATATATATCCATGATTCCTTATTGATTCTTTTGGAATTTCATATCATGCAACCCAATTCCTCTCACCTCTCAGTCCCTCCATATCCACCTCTCACTCCTGCAATGTCCCTCCCAAAAGAAACCCCCTCCCTACCAAATTAATTAAAAACAAACCAAACAAAAATCCGCCTCAATCCTCCATCTTTATCTCCTCTCCAACACCTCTTCATCTCTTCTAGTGGCACTGGGAGCTGCAGTGTGTCACACAGTCCACCCTTTTGTCCCATCAGCCCCAGTGCAAATGTTCATTGCAATGAGTCACTGGTCTGGTACAAGGCTTCTGGCCTCTGGCACACCATCATCACTGGATCCTCACCAAAACTCCTCTTGGATATTCTGTGCCCCGAGTCACGGGGATCCTGTAGCTACTGTTCTGCAGGACCAGTCCCTTCACGTGCTCCAGCAGGTCACAGATGTGGCAGATGTTAGGGTGGGCCAACCCGAGGCTCAGAATGTAGGTCTGGGTGGTAGCTGAGCTGGTCAGGCCAGCTCATTGGGGCCGCCCCCTCAGGTAAGCAGAGCCAGCTGTCCTAGGTCCATACAAAGCATGATTTTAAGTACATACATACCTGTCTTTCTGTTTTGAGAATTTGAAGGATAACTCAGACAGATACCTGTGGGAGGTTAAGCATGAATACACAAAACAAAAAGTAGATGCAAATAATACAGCAGATTTTCTTTCCTCTTTTTGTTGCCATTTATATGGAGAAATAAGACAATAATCCTATGTAAAACAGTATCTCAGGACAAATGATAAGTTACAGAAAATGGACAGATTTCAGAGCCCAGATGGATGAGGTACAGAGCATTGCATGCCTGTGGTTTCTTTGCAGGAGTGGAAGAAGTCAGAATAACAAATCCCAATGAGCCTGTAAACCCTTCTCATTGCTCAGGATGTCCTTGTTGAAGGTCAGTCTTCCAGCCCTGAACCTGTCTGCCACAACCCACCCCATTGTGACAATACTTTTACCATTAATTAGGCACCTTGAGGTCAGGTTAGGCTGACCTTTAGTAGTCTCTTAGTATTGTTAAGCTGTGGATGGCTGCCTTTAAAAGATGTGAGGGGCAGATATCTGTCTGAGATACTTCTGTTTAAGAAGTGAGGCTAACAGGAAACAATGAATTGTACAGCAGCCATAATGTCTGTCAACAGTCCCATAAAGCATACTTTAGCAACAACTACCACAACAAAATCTTTCATTAATAAAACGGTACTCTATTGCTAATTTGACCACAGGGCATTATCTTAAGGAGTCACTCACTGTAACTAAAACTTTTGTGAATGTATTTCAAATATTTGCATATTAAATATTTAAGTTGTTGATAATAAGCCAAATGTCCTACCTAAAGGATTATATGCAGCTTAGTTACAGGATATGGACTTGTCAGACTCATATTTTAATGTACTATTTTCTATCTAGGCTCCAATTCATTTGTCCATATTTTCTCTGCATCATCTCTCTCTTGTTTCTCTTGTGTGCATTTGTTTTTCAGTAAGCAATGGCCTCGATTTTCCTTCTCTTTTGGATGGCCACCACCACATAGGGCCTGAATGTCCGGTTGTTTTCCGAGGACAGAAAGAAGACTCTGTATTTGTCTGTTTTGGGGGCAGCCTTGTAGGAGAACCATCGAATGGGCCAAGGATTCAGCGCGCTTTCATGTGAATGGGACCAGTTTCTGTTCTTCCCAAACCTCAGAGCTTAAGCACTTGGGAAGAAGATTTGGCCAAGATGACACACTTGCAGGCTGGGCTCAGTCCAGACACGATAGAGAAAGCCCGCCTAGAACTGAATGAAAACCCGGACGTTTTACATCAGGACATTCAACAGGTCAGAGACATGATCATCACCAGGCCAGACATTGGGTTTTTACGTACAGATGATGCCTTCATCCTGCGTTTTCTCCGAGCCAGGAAGTTTCACCAAGCCGATGCCTTCAGACTCCTGGCCCAGTACTTTCAGTACCGCCAGCTAAACCTGGACATGTTCAAAAACTTCAAGGCAGATGATCCCGGCATTAAGAGGGCTTTGATTGATGGGTTCCCTGGAGTGCTGGAAAACCGTGACCACTACGGCAGGAAGATTCTCCTGCTGTTTGCTGCCAACTGGGATCAGAGTAGGTAAATGTAGATAGTGTCTTTACTTGGCTTTGTTTTGACATAGCATCATCACTGCATGCTGGGGTGTATGGCTCTGCAGGTCAAAGGAGGCTTTAAGACCCAGGTGTAATGCCACCCAAAGGCAAGTCCACAAGGGAATCACAGCCTCTGAGTTGTACTGGACCCTAGAAGTGAGTGTTCCATTCACCAAACTAAGGCATTTATTTTAATAAACACAAAGCTGATATATTCTAGAAGATCCATATATTCTTTTTAGTGTATCAACAGTACAAAAAAATGGATTCACTGGATTGGTTGCCACACATAAAATAATTTTGTGGGTGCTCTCTGTGACTTTAATATCCTTCTCTTCTGGGTGCCAGATTTTCCACTAAATGGACTTCCTTTCTAACTGTCCTTTTTAGAGCCACAACTCTACATGCCACAGGCTGAGTATACCATCCTCCCCTGTATACATACTCATCCCTCTACCCAGTTCCTCATGCCAAAATGTGGACTCATCTTTGGCTTTTATCCTAACATTGTATTTCTCCCTAAATTCCACCTACACCCCAATTTTTTCTTTCAAAATCATTCCCAGTATCTTCATTTCGCTGTGTTTATTGCTATTGCCTAAGTCCAGGTTCACATTATTCTATGAAAACAATTATAGAAATGTAAGGTCTCTGCTCAGTAGTTGCTCCTTCTTGGTGCCTACCACATGTTCTACCAGGTATTTGTATGATCTCATTTAACCCATCCAAGACCTGGGAATGATAAATGCTATTGCCATTTCCCATACTTCACATTTGATGGCATACAAATGGGAAAAGTTAAGGACCTGGATTTCATGTCACACAGCTAGTGAAACCAAAGTGGAAGTTAAGTCCTGGCCATGTGACTTGAGTTTATGAGACCAGGGAGGATGATGACTTTCACATGTTTATGTCTTAGCCAGGTAGCACAATAAACAATGTCGAATGGGGAAAAAGTGAAGGAACTGATCTCTCAAGAGTCAGCTGTGGGTGGACCTTTCACAACAACATCATGGATGAATATTTTATGTTCATGGGAAGACACAGGCTTAACTGAAAAATACATCAAAAACCTTTCCAGTGCTATTTAGAGGATTTTCTAGTCCACCTTTCCCAGGCCTTATGCCACTACTTTTTCTAAGAATAACAGTAGTGCAGGAGGTCTTCACAATCATTGACAATTTCCTGGTTGATAAATCGAGGCAATACCACCTGACTCTGGTACACAAATGTTTCCACAAAATCAGTCTAGACTTTAGTCAGTTTTGCAGCTGCAACAGCAATAGTGATGTGGAATGGATATCATGTTTGTCAAGTTCATGTTGCATTTAATAGTGAGCCTTGATTTGCATTGTCCACTGGTGAGAAAGAGCTGGATTTTTACATTCATTCATTGGCATCATTCAGTCAACAAACACATAGAGGTGTGACTTTGAGGCACTTAAAACAATGGTGAGAACATGTGGTCTTCATCAGTGAAGACCCAGGTACAGTTCATGGTCCATAAATGGTGCAGCATATAAACAGCTAGCCCCTGTTCACTACTGGATAATTCCTCCTGAGGCACATGAGCCATAGACACAGCATCTAAACTGAAAGGAGCAGTCCTACTCCCAGGAATGGCACATTCACATTCTGGATTTGGAAACCGGAAGGTTTTGATGATTTTGGAGAATAATCATGCTGACATCGTTGTGCTAAACTGTCAGTTTTCTGGGGCTTCTATCTACTAGGACAGACTGTGCACTGAGCACCACTGAGCTGTGATGTTCACATAAAGAAATGAACCACAGTAAAATACTTTATTCCACTTAAGATTTGGCCTGTATATATCCCCAAATACATTGTGAAGAAATAAGAGGTAACAAATCTCTGAGGAAATAATGAAAATGTTTATGATTATTATAACCTTGGACAAGTTACTTCCTTCTCTGTTCCTTGGTTTCCTCATGTGTAAAATAAGCTTCTAGCTCTAATGACTCAGGAATGAGATACCCATTCAGCCTCATACGATGGATGAGAAGGGATTCTCAAAATCACTTTATAGGCTCCACATTCGCTTAACTTTTAAAAAATAACCTCTCTTCTCCCCTTTCCCATAGTCCCATGCCCTAATTATCTTTTAACTATACAATTTTATCCAAACCATTTTGCTTTTTACAAAATGATATTGGTGAGTCTATTCACTTGGCATTAAATTAGATACAAACAAACCAATTTGAATGTGGATATGACCATATCATTTAGTAGTTATGTGACCCTAGACAAGCAGCCCCTTGGAGACTGGTTGCTCTTCTGGAAGGCAGGGAAAGAGAAATGTCTTTATGTGGAGTGGGACAGAGCAATGCCATGCTGAAGTTCATTGTTTGGCACACAATAGACACTGGCTTCTGGTATTATCACTAATATTTTTAAAATCTGACTTCAAAAGTAATGGAAGACAGATGGCAAATAGGTTAGAACTGGATTCAGGAGGGCAACATTTCAAAACCAGAGTGGGATTATGCATGCTACTCACCCACTCACTTGTCTAAAGCACCTGCTTGCTTTCCCCAGATACTTGTCACACAGATGAGGTCCAAAAGGCCAGGGAAATTTCACAGCTTTGCAAAGTGATTGCTTCTCTCTGGGGGCTTAGATGATCAGGTAGTGATTTGAATGTCTCATGTGAAAGGTTTACTGAGATTAAGGTGATTATTAATATTTATTTAAATGATGTAAATATCATCCACCTTGACCTGATACATGTATAAAAGTGACTGGCTCAGAGCAGGTCATGACAGCCATTGAACTACCAGAATTCAAACTGGTCTTGCTCAGAGGCAGAGGCTCCACCAGCAGAAGTCTGTCGGACTTCTATGCTTTCCGGCTGCCAGGCTGGGCTGAATGAGTTCCATACATGAGTACCATGCACTCATTCATAAGGTGAACGTAGCCGGCCCTTCTAGAGCTAGCAGCACTGTTATTTCAGTGTACTAGCTGGATGTGCAGTGGGGACACAAGGAGTTACTTAAGTACTTAATGGATCTTACTCAATGGTTCAATGATCTTTCTCACCTAATCTCATACCAGCATTGGCAAGAATTCACACTTTGAACTTGTAACATCTCTAAAGAAAATTTATTTCTCGCTTTTTTTTTTCTGAGCTGCAAATTTGGATCTATGCCTTTGCTATCAGGACCCTGGTGCTGCAGAAAGAAAGACAAGCAGGGAGGCACACGTGTATTTATCCCTGGGTTTTACTTGGTCAGAAACAAAAGTTAAACTTGGGTCCCATTGATTTACTTTTTAGAGTATCAATTTCTCAAGTGGAAACTAGGTAAGACATCAGGCCTCCTAGACTGCTAAGAGCTGTTAGGGAGACAGAACATCACTAACTTGATGATGGCAAAGAAAGAAGTCTGGAAGGAGATGGTGCTATCTTCTTCAGAGAGCAACTTGACTCACCCATGGGAAAGCTGAGGCTCATGGCTTTCATTCCAAGTTAATTCCAAAGACATCTGGAGTCAATTGCTCGGTCTTGGCATTGTGAGAAGTTTCAAATACCATTGGAGCTTCTGCAAGGCCGTGTGTGTGTGTGTGTGTGTGTGTGTGTGTGTGTGTG